ATGTACGTGAGAAGAAGAAAACAAGCACGGCCTGTAGACAAGAATGGACATCAATTTGCTAAATCATGTCTGTAATACGGGTTCAAGCTAAGATGAAAGTTACTGCCATCGCCAAGAACATAAGGCAGAAGTGTTTTTGGAGGCTATTGGAACACTAGAAAGGCCAAAAATGCGGTAGGAGGGCAGAATTGGAATGGCTTGAAAGAGCTTAGGGTAGATGAATATCATGCCCTGAATCGAAAATGCTGACATGATTAATGTGGACCGTGCGTAGGAGGAAGAAAAGATGAAAAAAGGCATACACAACCAAAATAAATCAAGGAAACAAAAAATACTGTCTGCATCAATAACTTCTAATTCTTCTTTCATTATTATAACTTGCAAGAAAAGAACACTTGGTCAAAGTAGCGATTCAAAGGGATGCCTACAAAAGGTGGAGTTTGGAACGCTGAATTCAAAGTCTTCCGTATTTGCGAGGCGTGTCTCAGAAAAAAAAGGTATGAAGAATTTTCCCTGCCAAAAACAGCCTTCACGGCCTGTTAATAACTGACCTTAAATTCCAAAGTTGAGCAAAAAAGCTAACCAACGGGTTATCTTTGATATGAATTATCAACAAAATTCAGCTTATTTGCTGCTGTTTTGGGTTAAATTTAAGCTTTTGGACGTTTTCTACAGACCTTGCAAGTTATTTTGAAAGCAGGAAAGGTTTATAATTTCTTATACAAAACTAGATATGGAACACGATCAATCAGTGTTCTAAGCTGTGACTAACAGTATGTATCATTCTAATAAAGGCCCGTAGTAAGGTTCCCTCCGGAGATCACCTGAAGATAGGGTCAGGTGAACTCGCCCCACGGTTGACCATGATTCGAATCCGCTCAGTGGTGAACTCTTTTGCAATGTTTAGGAGTTACATAGAGGGTCATAGGTGAACCGTAAAGTCGTAGACAGAACGGTTTCGAACCAAATCATTGATTAGGAGCGAATCTTGGGATCACCAGCAAAAGTGTGCACTTTTGGGTCGGTAATGCTCCACATTTGACGCAAAAGTACATGCCGTCAGGGGAGCTCGTAAGTTGGTTTCGGGCAACTTACGAGTTTCCCTGTCCGAGTTCCCCGAGACTCTCGTAAAAAACACTATTTCCTTTGTATGAGCCTTCAGGCGAACTCTCTCCTTAGGAGCTCAGGTCATCTCATCGCAGAGCCTCGCATGACCGCGATCCGTTCGCGGATTTTGTATCCTTATACTATGGCGAAGGGATCGGGATCATTTGAATTCTAGCTTAGGATAGCCCCGCCAGGTCAGATCATCTCACCTGACGGGAAGTTTACCTCGGGCCAAAGTCTTTTCTATTAAGTATCCTTTCCTCGTTGGTGCCAAAACATTTGATTTTCTCTACGACTTTTTTCGAAGAAAAACCGCAGGATTTGTTCCAATGCAGCAATCAGTCCTTTGACCACCTTCTTCACCACTTATTGCTACTTTGCGTAGCTCTTTTACAAGTAAAATTATGGGGGAATCAATCGCTCGACAAGATTTGTTGCTGCGCAATTGCCGTATGTTCCTTTGTTTTAGATATGATTAACCATATGAATGCCCCATTACCAGTTACCTGCTTTGTGCACCTTTTAACAGTTGTCACGAAATGTACTCTTATGCAGGCAATGCTTGAGCGCTAGCCTCTAATGTTCTTCGGTTTCAGGCATCATCTGGCATCTAACTCTGTGCTCTGTTTGCGTTGCTTAGCTTCTAACCGTAGTGTTGGCACATCTTTGAATGTGTTCCACAAACTTAAACCTAAGCATAAGCTACACATTCATCAGGGCGGCAAGAACACAATACAGCAGGAACCAACTACAGCTTATTCTTTAAGAATTCTATAATGTTGCATATTTCGCTTTTCTTGCATTTCTCCCTTCTTTTAAAATCATGGCATCTTCTTCTTACCTCCGCATTCCAAGATCCTCCATTGCACACTCCCACATTCTTCAGATACTCCCACGTCTTGAATATGGATCCTCCGTCGCATCTAGGAGATGTATATCACTTTGCTCTACTATTAATTCGGGCTCTTAGATACCCGTTTCCGCCTTCTCTTCTGCACTCCAAACAGCACGACATGATATCAGCAGCGGAAACCTCATCCTAAAAATGAACGCATTTTAGGAAGAATACCATTGCATATGAGTTTAACCTGATAAGGATTATCAAAATCATCATTTTGTTTCTTATACCACTTCCTAACGATGCACAATCTGTCAGACGCGGCTGATGCCGTTGCAACTGCCCAGCATGACCCTATTTGTCAACAAAATTTTGAGGAACTGTTAGCTAATTGTGGCGCATTGATAGCTCAGTCACCGCAATTTGATTGATCACGAACTTCTTCTAAGGACCAACAACCTTCCCATTTTGTTCGAGCATCAAATCTGAATGGACATTGTTTCGGCAAACAAATAATTCCCACTTGAGTTGCACAACATACGTCTCTGGAATCTCTTTTTCGTTCGCAGATTCAGGTTTTTGACTAGCCGGTACGTTGTCTTCATGCAAATGTGATATGTGTAAACGCTCATCAAAATCGTATTCGTATTCGTAAGTCTATAAGAACAGCATTTATATCTATTGCCTAAGT